GGTGGAAGGCTTTCGCGCGCAGGGATATGCGGTGTTGTCCAGGGCCTGCAGCTCGTGAGTAGAGGGCAGCCCTCGAAACTGGTTCCGCGTGCGCGAGTTGCTGGGCATGCGCGCGGGCTTCCTCGGGCCAATGCGGGCCTGGGGCCATTTTTTCCATACTTAGGCATATTTTGAGCTTTTTTTGACCGATTTTCGACCCGATTTCACCCAAATCTCTTCCACACTCCCCGAAACTTTCTGGATAAAATTTTTTTAGCCCGACACTAACAGGTCGGTACTGCCGAGCGGGTCGGCATGGGCACTTCTCAATAATTTGCATACTTAGCTCAAATTTTCAACACTCCGCCATCTTTCAACTCATTTTTCAATAAAATCTCGATTCCGAGCCTCGTTTTCTTCTCCAAAAATGCCGTGTTCGTGTGGCTAGCGGAGCTATTTATTTTTGAAATAAAATAAAAAAGGAGAAAACACAATAACCGTGGGTTGCCTCCCACGAAGCGCTCAATTTAACGTCTTGAGCTCGACGTCCTCAAACCAAAATCAACCGGGATCCAAGAAAAAATGTCGATCATGCCACGCCTTTGTATTTTTCAAGAGTAGACGAACCGGTAGTACCAAACAAAGGCGGGCCAAAAATACTCTCGTGGCCGAATTCTTGTGAAACTGAGCACGGATATCAACAACCACAAAGAGGATAGATGAATTTTTACGAACCGAGGCCCCATACTCGACCTCCGAAAATATAAAAATATCCGTGGAGCACGTCGATTCAATCCCGGGCATCGTTTGCACTATCTCGAACGTGTACTCATCAAGCTCAAGCATCGGGAGCACGGGCGTAGGCACACTAAACTCCTCCAAATGGTCACGATCCTTAATAATACGAAACGATGACCCAAAGGACATGGGAACCACATCATACTCAACATCACAAGTCGACTCATCAATCAACGCACACCTCGGGTCAACGACATCACATAAAGGCTCAAAATCCTCCTCAACACCATCTACAACATCATCAACTACCACATCCTTCTCCTCAAAATCATCCTCCCGAGCACTTTCAAAACCATTTGACTCATCCGACACATGAATAGGCACAACCAACTCCTCAAACGAATTCTCCCCCATACCATACACCATATCATCACATGATTCCATATGCTCACTCTCAACAATAGAATTCAAATTCAAAGCACTATCACCGGAAGAAAGAATTGACGTACCTAACGTGGAATGCACGGTCGAATCGTCAAGAGAGGATATTTCTTTAACAACCAAATCGTCAAGGTCCTCACTCGTGTCGAGAGATTGAGTACCGTCATAAACGAGAGTGAGGCCCATCTCATTCAAGGAGATAAACCGATCCACCATAGCTCGAAACTCACCCTCTAACCGAGTACTCTCTCGGATAATCCTCGCCGATAGAGAACAATATCTACCGAGCGGAATGTGAGAGGCATCCAAATCAAGAAAAGAGACCACGGTAGAGTCGAACTTCGTGAGTGTGACTTGAAGAACGGATGGAATGGGAATACTCCAACTATGAAATTCCTCAACGATTGACATGAGGCTTGCAAGCGCCTCTTGAGTGCTCGCCAACACCTCCCGGTGACATTCAGAAGGCACAACCGTTGTTGGAATTGAAGCTTCGGAACTCGAGGTACAAGGTTGGCCAACCAATAGGTGCTCACATGATAGATAGAAAGGAACAAAGGTCTCGGTTTCTTCCTTTTCGGACATGGGGGCCATTGAAGCAAGAAGGGATCGATTGCACTCCTCTAAATGCTCCATAATCTCGTCTAGATTAACTCGAGAAGCTTCTCGAGTCGGCTCGGGTGGAGATGTTCCTTCATAATCGGGAGGCGGTGGATAGTAATAGTCCGGAGGTGGAGGATTGACATAAGGCGGCTCGTCGTGACTCGGAATGTCATAAATATAATCGGCTCGAGATGTCGGGTAAAAATGGCTCGGGCCATAACCATGGGAAGTAGAGCATCCGTCATAAGAGTAAGAAGGTGAATAACTCGGATATAAGCAAGACGGCTCCCCATATGTTGTGTACATCTCCTCTTGGTAATTGTTGGGGTGTCCACGAGACGAGCTTCCGACATAGGAATAATCATACGGGTCCATCGGGGCTCCTCAAGTGAATGACCTCGCACAAGAACAACAAGCAAACCAAGGCACACGAGACCAAGACAAAATAACACAAAACACGAATAACACGACACAATATATACAAGAACACAAACACCAAATAGCAAGAGAAATCAAAAACAAGCAAGAGAAACACACAAAATTAAGAAAAATCACAAAAAGCAAGAGAAATACGAAAAATAAGTCAATCAATTGTCTAAATCCAATGGCCTACTCGCCTTCCCCGGCAACGACGCCATTTTGTTTGTAGTATTTTTGGGCATGTGGTAACCGAGGTACCCGACTCGGGTCGTTCTCAAAGGAAGGCTATTCGGACACGGATTCAAGCAACGATCGACTCACACAAGAAAAGAAAATAAAAATCCTAAACATTCTACTCGCATGATTGGGAGTTCGGATTAAGCTAAGAACGCAATTTATGCAAAAATGAAAGCAAGATTCAAACTTTATCGCAAGAAACACCTCAAATTGGAATAAAAAGAAAAATAAAGAGAAAAAGAACAAGGTACTCCTAGACCCGAGATGGAA